CTCTCTCTCTCTCTCTCTCTCTCTCACACACACACACACACACACACACACACACACACACACACACACACAAACATGCACACACCACTGTGCTCCTGCTTCTTTGGCGGCTACATCAACCAACTGTTCCTACTATGGATACTACACACTGCATGATGGAGGTCTAAGGAAAGGATAAAGGCGCATAGCAGCATACTCCTGTTTTCAAAAACCAGGAAACAAAAAATTTAATCATACTAAGAAGCCACACACACTATTGAGAAGAATGGCTTCCCAAAGGTAGTAACTATAGAATGCCCATAAAAATAACCACTTATCAAGACTGACAGAAACTACATGAAGCCTCGACCGAATAGCAACAGCTCCCCGAGACAAGCTGAGAAATTATTAGAATTTCTGGAGCAACATCACAGACAACACTCATCTATGCACCAAGTAAACGATTAGGCACTGATCATTGTCCCCGGCGTTCGTGGAAACAGCTATTCAAAGCCTGTGAGAGTAAAACACTCCTAAAGAATCTTCCTCGGAACGACAGCCTGCAGTTTACACGGCCAAGAGATCCTGGAACCACCAGCCAGCCCGATTCCCGATTCCGCTCTCCTCGGCCGCATCACTGACTGATTTCTCTTCTTCCTTTTCCCTTCTTGCGCCCATTTATTCCGCCCAAATCAGCAGAGAGGCGGAGCTCAACAAGCGCAGATCCCGAAATACATTATCATTCAATGTTGAAACGAGTTAGGAAGTCCGTCACTACGACTGCAACAGAACAGCATAAATGGCAGCAAGGAAGCAGACGCATGCACCAGCATATGCATGCTGGTGTTCACAGGAAAAGGGGGAGGAAGCGGGAGAGGGAGAGGGAGAGGGAGAGGGAGAGGGAGAGGGAGAGGGAGAGGGAGAGACATGCCAACAGACACATACAGACGGAAGGAATGGAAGACAGACAGAGCAGCAGAAGGACAGAGGGAAGCTGCGGACAGGGAGTGGGAGCAGGAGCAGGAGGGGGAGAGGGCGAGGGAGAGGGAGAGACGGACGGACAGACACAGACAGACAGGCAGACAGACAGAGCTGCGTAAGGACAAAGACAAGCCGACAGAGGATGGAGGGACTGACTAGGAGGAAGACCAACAGCGAGTGGCAAAAAAAAAAAAAACAATTACTTGTGAATGCAAGCAGAAGAAATAAAAAAAAAGCACCTGCAAAAATGAAAGGGCAGGGAAGAAGAAAAATAACAACAATTCTCTCTCAGGAAATCAGATGGACTAAAAAGACCACCAGGAAAACAAAAAGCTCACCGCCGCAAACGGCTTGTGGATCAGGGCGGGACTAATGGGATCGTCAGCTCCGTCCCTGACAGAAGAGCTGAGTTCTAGACATCAGTCAGCAATCCAGTTATGAAGTTTTGATATTATGCCTAAAAAGGAAAGAACAGAGTACGGTAATACTTTCCACCAGAAACAGAACACTAAAATTAGAAAACTGCACAGAGAGAGAAGCTCAGTGTACATCATAGGGTCCTTCGCAAGGTCAGCGACATTGCAGAAAAAGAGAAAGAACTTGCCAGGAGTTTAGATTGGCCACATGGCTTTTCGTGAAGCCAAGGGAGGGTTGGGGGGTTACAGGGGGGGAATGCCAAAGTCAAATTATTGGAGATGCAATTATGGTTGACATCTACAACATCAAGGATCGGTAAGAGAGGAAATCGGCAGAAGGCAGGAAAGCGCAGACGATCATATTTTGGTAGGCAGCCACCTCTCTCAGTGCCTACCCTGGCTCCTTTCATCTTATTTGGTAGGCTACTAGGCATCCATTGCTGGGTTGCCTGCACTTAGCCCAGATTACACTTCTGTGCATCTGTACATCCACGAGAATCATGGCCCGTTCTTTTCCATCTCGACAGAAACTTCAGAAAATGCCCAAATGTCCACTTTCACAATATCTCCTGGGAAACCCAGACATGCGTGAGCGGACTCCGGGGCACCCGAAAAAGCATTCTCATAATGGTCAGGATTTCTTCTTCCTCTCCAAACTTTAAGAGCGGCAGCTTTGGCGATTTTTCACGGCCAGAAGAATTCACAGAAAATTCTGAAAATTTGAGCATTGGTAGATTAGGTTGTGATCTTTCCAGGAAAAATATCAGAATAAATAAATAAATAAAATCGTTTTGACCGTGACATGTTCCAGTTTCGCCACAGCGTCGTTTGTAGGCGAACGGGAAAAGTCGTCCAACTTCTGCGTTTTTTCCCGGTCCAAGGAATGCGTCAACGACTCTGAAAATTGGAGGGTCTGTAGATTTGCCCGCGCCGATTCGTTGCATGTTCCAGTTTCGCGACAGCGTCGTTCGTAGGCCAACGGGAAAAGTAGTCCAGCTTCTGCGATTTTTCCCGCCCCAAGGAATGTGTCAAAGACTCTGAAAATTGGAGGGTCTGTAGATTTGCTCGTGACCTGTCCAGGAAAAATATTTAAGAAGAACAGGCCCGCGGACGCGAAGAGCGGACTCCAGGCACAGTTCCATGGGCAACCATTTCTTCTTCCTCTCCAGTGAGCCAACCAGTTCACATCATCCTCGTCAAACAAATATGCACAAAACTCACCATCATCTTCGTTCCCACCGTCTCTGCGGGACAAGTGGTCACAATTGTCGTTGCCGCTGCTTGACGAGTGAGACCCTTTCCGCTTCACTCTACCAGCCAGCCACACAATCGATCTCCTTCAACTTCCATTGTATCCACCTCAGATTCACAGTAACTAAGTTATCCTTCAGACTTGATCTGAATCTCCATGAGAGCCACCACATCTCCGCCGCGCCTTTGAACGAGTGCGCATCTATCCTTTGTTATGCTTGGCCAGATTATCGGCTGTCGTTTGCAACCTTCGATGTTCTCAATTGGCCACCGCCACAGAAATGAGCAAGCATTTCCTTAAACCACCCGTACTCGGCCCATACATTGGCCGCGGGCTGTTGAAGTTGAGTTATGTTAACCGGGCTTCAGGGCTACCAGACCACAATGGCTGGCGGTGCCAGCCAAAAGCGAAAAAAAAAAAAAAAAAGGGTCGTGCTGGCGATGCAACAAAGCTTGGCGCACACAGGGCGTTTGCGACCCGGACAAAAGGTGCCCGGAAGGAAGTACTGGCAGTTTAAACCACCAGTTAGTTCACACAAGCCTAAGTTGACAAAGCTACCTTCCGAGGCTCACGAGCCTGCCACTGCGCCTTTTCAAAGTGACCTGCCGCTTTTGCTGCCGGCCCACGCCTGAAGCAGAACACTCAGTCTCAGTCTCTTACCACGTATACCAGGCAGGCCACAACTTTGGCCCGCCTGAACTGCTGCTGGTTGAATTTCTCCTGGCTGGATTATCAATGGCTTGCGATGCTCCGATGCTCCGAGCTCTCCGTTGGCCTGTTTGTTGCCATCAACCTCATCATCATGTCACCAGCCAATCCATCAGCCTCTGAAGTACATCACAAGAATGACCATCTTCTCCACGCGCACAGGCATTTCCTGCTTTCTCTCTGGCTCTACTTCCTCCTAGCCCTGCAATAGCCCTGATATATAGTCCTGCTTGTGTTTACCTCTACCCTCCAATCACCACCTTCAATGCAGTCCTCCCTACATCCAGCAAAGTCCTTTCGCCTATCCTTCTCACACACCCTCTCCCCTCGCGCCGGACTCCAACCAATCCTTCTCCATCACCGTCAAAACCGGCACCAGTACAAAAGCATGTTGCCACCTAGTTCCCCTAAGATCTGCTGCCGATCTGCAACATCGCAAATTTGCAGCAACAAGAGGAGACAAACGCCCTAAGCCACATACGACTATACAAAAACCTCGTCAGCCCGCCTCGGTGGGCTTCATGCCGGATATATAGACAGTCTCAAGGAACAACAGGTTCTGCACAGCGTCACCATCCCTGGTCACAAACACACAGTGAGAGAGGAAAGAGGCAATCGAGTTTGCGAGGATCTTTAGCGAAGAGCAGACAACCACGCAAGAGGCATCAATCCATTTTAATCAACTGTGCGACGGAACGGGAGTAGAGAACAGGAACCATAATAATGAGAGGAGGGTAACGAATGACCTACGATGTGAAGCAGGACCTTTTACAAGCCTTCGCTCACGTAATCCGGCTGCGGTGAATACAACAACATGCTCGTGGCCTTGTCCCAAAAGTCACAGCTTGCGTTCAAATTCATCTGGCCATATACGGTCGCCAAGAGTGACGCGCCGCAGCAAACTTCACATCTCTGCTGTCGAAAGCATGGACGGAAGGAAACAGGATGGCAAAATCACACAAAATAATACACGCCAAGAGCGAGTCAGTCACAGAAAAGCAGAGGATCGGACAAGACAAAGCCCCATCAAAGAACCAACGTGCTCAAGCTCAGTTGGTACACCCACAAACTGTTGAAAAACAGACCGCGGTTAGAGGCAGAGATAACTGTTTTTTTTTGTTTTTTTTTTCCCTTTTGAAAGGGCGGCGGCTTTGAGATACCATCATTGACCTGACCGGCCCCAGGCAATTCAGAAATGTCTGGTTTTATTCATCTAGAACCATCATCTGGATTCAAACTCTGGTCTGTATTTCAACAGTTCATGGGTGTACCCACTGAGCTAGGCTCTTGGGGTACACAGCCAGAGTTAACTAGATGTGGGGGGGAAAAAAAAAAAAAAAAAAAAAAAA